CTGCTTCTTATAATTTACACAAAATTATCCGTCTTACACTGTTTTTATTGACCAATATTAATAAATTGCTTCGTTTATTTTGAAAAAGTTTCAAAAAAGCAAGTACAAAGAAATAACGAGTCATTTATCGCTTGCTTGACAGGCACTTGAAAAACCGCTGGGAATGGATGCACTCACGTTCAGTTGGTGAGTAAATCCAAAGTGCGTTTTTCCAGTTTGCCAGTGAAATGCATTTCTGAGCGAATGAGGAATCCAACAAGAGGGGGCGTGAAATAAAGGTGCAGTCGGTTTTTGCTTAGAGACATTGAAAAGTTGTTTATTAAAAACATGTGCTGGCTTATATATTTATAATGTTGTTCGAGAGGTAATTGATTTGACTGTTGAGTATTTGTTTAATGGACGATTAAAAAATGAAAAAAAAATATAAAGGAGTGAAAGGGGGTGTGAAAAAAAGTACACTCGCGGGTTAGTGTTTTTGAGTTTTTTATTTCTGCAAAAAAATGAAAAAATATTTAATAAAAAGTTCATTTTATTTGATAAATTCTGAGTTGTTTTTTGGTTATTTTGGCTTCAACGAACAGTTTCGAAGTCAATATTTCTTGGTCCTCCTTTTATCATTCGGCAAATCCAGCCTTTACTTTACATAAAAAATAATTCACAAATTTCAATAACAAACATCGGCATCTTGAAAAAGTCAGAGAGACTCTTGTAAACCTTGTTTTTTTGAATCAAATCAAAGAAAAGGAAAAAAAAATAAACTATACAAAAAACTATAATCATATTATCATTTAACCATTAAATTATCAAAAGCGGGTTTTTCCACCCCTTTACATTTCAATTACCTTTATTGTCATTGTTATTGAATATATAGATTACTATATACATTACATATAACAAACTTGTTCACTTATTGTTGTAATACATTCTATAACTCAGTTTGTTGTTTCAATGAAATGAAAAGATAATAGTTTGCTGACTTGTCTCTTTTGCGTTTTTTTTCAATTCTCCGTAATACGTTCCGTTGTTTTTATCCAACTTATTGGTGTGATTGTTTTCAACCTTTTTACTAAAAATCCATCTAAAATTTAATTTGATTATTTTTGAGATGTAAACAAAAATTCTGAGTTGGTGAAAAACAATCTTGAAAAATAAAATAAACTATATAGTTCTTAAAAACTACTATATTTTATGTTTCAAAAAATAAACTAATTATAAATTAGAGTACAGTGAAAAATCACTG